TTCTTACATCAAATAACATCATCATAATATTCAATACATCAATATTCTTCATCCAATAATGTGGCATTTAAACGTTTAATGCTGCTACGGAAGAAAATGTTGAATAAAAAAAAAAGGATAACGTATTTTTCGGATATTTTAAAAGCACTTAACAGTCATTGCATGTATATGCAAACCAACAATTCTTGGTACTTGAAATCTCTTTAAGCGAAGACATCATTGATTATTCAAGAAAGAACTTCTCCGTATTGTTGCATTGTGCTCTCTCTAAATTCGCAACGCATGAACTCATACACGGAAAACAAAAGAATTTACAGCTTTTGAAGTGTAAGAAGCTAGAAATTACCTTATAAGAGCATGTCAACAAATTAGCTTTCCGAACGACGTGCGAGCTCCAGAAAACAATTTTTTGGTACCTGATAATTCGAAAGTAAGTCAATTTAATCCTTTTCTGGAAGATGGACTTATAAGCCTGGGAGGAGGACTTTAATTTTTTTAACTTTCTTCTTTTGAAAAACATCCTTTGCTTTTAGATGAACATGATACATTTACAAAACTTCTAATTCGACACACTCATACACGTTTGCATCACCTAGGAGTACGAATCACACTTTCTGAATTTTGGCCAGAATTTCGGAAATATAAAAGATCAAACACTATTTATTAAACATCAAGTATGACGGAAAAAGAATAGCGTATTTATCGAATATTTTGTATTCGTTGTATGTTTATGCGAACCTACAGTTCTTGGTTCTCGGTTCTCCCCACACTGGTCTATCTATAAGGGAATGACCAGTTCGAAAGGACGTGATCTTCGCATCTCAAATGGACAGTTCTCACAACTCCATATAGCCAGGGGTATAGCTTGAGAAGAAGAACTTTTTTTCCACATTTGGAGAGGGCGAAACTCTTCCTGGAGAATATTACATCTTCTTTTTTTTTAATCTTAATTAGTTTTCTAGTGTTTCTGACTTCGTGATAGCTCTGCTTTTTAAATCTAGCGAATATTCTTTTGACCATCTGCTCCAAAATTAATCTAGTAGAGCTTGTTGATACTTCCAAACTTTCGATGGTGGAACTTGGCTCACCTTATATTTGGTCAAAAACTAAGTTGGGTTTTTGACCATTGCATAAATTGGAAGTTTATAGCACCTCGAGCGGCTTTCTGTAGAAGCTGGTGGGAGAGAATGGCTGGAACTGCGAAAAGATGTTTGCGCAAAATCATATTTGGAAGAAGAAAATTTGATCTTAATTCTGAGAGGAATTGAAGCGGGTATTAGCTGCCAGTCACTAACGCACGAAAAGGGAATTGATGTTCGAATTGAAGTCTTGATACCAGCACTCCTCCCCGTAGGTCAAAAACTCCATTCGTTTCCGACCAACAGTAAAGTGAGACAAGTACAATTATCGGAAGTATCAACAAGGGATCGCAGCATATTTTGCCATTATAAAAATAAAATAATTAATTTAACTGAATTATTTTTGTGTTCGTATGTCTGAAAGTAGGAGTGTTTCGAAAAAATTTTTATTAACATGTTCATAACCTAACAAGGGTACACACTGAGGAGCTTAGGAATCAAATAATGCACTAATCGGGGGAATTTCATCATATTCTGCTTTCTTGTAAGGCAGCCGAGAACAGTTTTATGAAATTCGTTAATGTTTACCATCGATGTTAAATATTTTCCCCGTGAATTCCAAGTGATGGATGTGCATAAGGAAAAAATTTTTCCTTAACACCACGAAGTAGTGACATCGGGTCACTAAATTACAATTTGTACATTTTCCCTCTTTAAGGCGAAAGCATTCAAATTCTATTCGCCTTTACACCTGTTTGTCGGCCTCTTTGATTTGAACGTGAGAGTTTGTCAGTTTCGGTTTGAGTTGTAACTTTCTTCTGCTCTAACTCTTTATAAAATATGAAATTTGGTTGTAAATTTAAGTTGGCAGAAATAGGCTCATTAAGAACGATAAATTGGGGACAAAGCATGCACTAGTATAAATACCGAGACATTCCCGACTGAGAAAGAATATGAATTGAATTTTTCAACCTGTTATTTCTCCTCTCTCGGTGCTTCAATTTTTATGGTACTTTGAGATGAACTTCATCCGCCGCCAAAGATGCCGCTTCACGCCAAGTGCCTCGTAATTGTGTTCTTCAGCATGTACCAGAAGCCTCCGTCACAGTGATGAATAATTAGCCATCCAAAAAGGGTACACGCTTCCCCACGTTATTCAGTTTAATATCTACTGAATCCTGAGATATTTATTTTTGCGTTCCTAATGGATACCTTTTGATGATCCTATGAGCTTCGTGGAAAAAATCTGAACCAAGATGTGCTGGTTATTCTTTTGAATATCTGCTGAGCCCTGCGACTGTTTTTGTTTTCTGATGGATACCGTTTTTGGCGATCCGTTGACCCAATCCACTCCACCCAAAATGTCTCCTACAAAAATGATTAGGGATCACCTCCCAAAATGATGAAAACTTAATAAAAAGCTATTTTTATCGGAGTATCATTGTTGAGAATTTTTTCTGGACCTTTTCTAGTGATTAGATATTTGATTCCTTTTCTGCTAACTTACACAGGTTGCACATTTCTTTTATCTTTCTTTTTTTTAAGGTTCCTTTTCAGCTAAATTACACAGGTTGTATATATTTTTTTAATCTTTTTAAGAAGGTTCCTTTTCAGCTAACTTACACTGGTTGTACATTTTTTAATCCTTTTTTTTTCTTTTTTTTTTTAAGGTTCCTTTTCAGCTAACTTACACAGGTTGTACACTTTTTTTCATCCTTCTTTTTTTTTTTTGAAGGTTCCTTTTCAACTAACTTACACAGGTTGTATAATGTTTTTATCTTTTTTTAGAAGGTTCCATTTCAGCTAACTTACACAGGCTGTAATTTCTTTAAAAACTTTTTGTAGAAGGTTCTTTTCCAGCTAACATACACAGGTTGTACATTTTTTTTTAAATATTTTTTTAGAAGATGATAATAAATGCTTTCAAAATAATTTTTAAAAAATTGGTTTTGCTAAAATACTTGCAATTGTACTATCATTTAGTCGATATGCTATAAGAATTCGTTTTCTTCTTATCTATGTATTAATCAATCTCAAGCAATGGATCCAATAATAATTTTTTTAACTTGAAAAATCTAATACTTTCTTTCACTAAAATGCGTCTTATTTAATATAATAACCTAATTTACTTAACTAAATTTTATTTAATTGTAAATTACCTAAGTTAATTTTTCTAATAATAAATCTTATCTTTTTATCATTTATTGCACAAAAATATTCTTGTATAAATCTTTAATTGTGCATGAAGTTTAACTTAAAAATAAATGACGCAATTTATTGGCAACAATATTTATTAATTGTACATTAATGTACAGAAATTGTATTCACAATCTAAAACTATACAATCAACAAAAAACTTGTTTGATAATTTTGAATATACATAATTTCAATGTACAAGCAAATTTTTCATTATTTACAAACAACAATACAAACATTAGCGCTAAATGTAGCCATCATTTACATCAACTTTATGGCAAATATCTGTACAAGTATGGCACAAAATACTTCTGTACATATTGGATATTTCAACGTAGTAGATAAAAAAAAATTTTGACTTGCATAAAAACATATTTTGATGTACTCTCTAAAGCAAAAATGAACAAGTTACAGTGAAGCTTTAAGAATCTTATCTTTTATGCCTTTTAAAAGGTTTATTTTATATAATGAATACCAACAAAAAAAAATTACCAACTCCATAATTTACAAAAATTTATGTTTAAATTTTAAGTTAAAAATTGAAAATAAGTTGTGAAAACGAAATAATGCTTTGACTAAACTAGCGATTGAATTAAGAAATCCTTGTAATTTTATAGTATGTCTTCATTCACTTAAAATTCCTTTGGTAGTTATTATGTTTTTATCACAATAGATAAAGAAAAAAGAGCTTTATTAAAGAAATGTAAATCGTTACCATTGCATTATTTGAAACATCATCGAAAGCTACAACGTTTTTAAATTGAATTATTAGAACATAAAGTTAAAAAAAGAATTCAATTAAAAAATATTAAACAATGCGAAAATTTTTTAAATCATAAGCAGCATTTAAAAATTTAATAATTTTTAAAAAATCTTAAATGTATGATTTTTTGTGGTGGTATGTATTATACTTTTTAATGAGTTGTTATAAAAATTGATACAGAAGCGTTAAACATTTTTTTATTAACAAACTTTCATTCACCAAGTTATATTTTTAACCTTTTCGTATGTGAATTTTAATTATTGCAACGCCCGGCACTTATTTGAATTTAAACAATTCAGTTTGTTTGGATGCTTACTTATCAAAAGTATTGCAATTGCTTCAACACATAAATAATACATACATACTTCAGTACAGTCTAAGAAAAACTAAAAATATTGCTTCACCATTATGTCATCTATGAGAACTAGGAAAAATACATATGAAATTGCAATTAAAACGTTATTCAAATGAATAAAATATTTATACTTTAAATTATGCATATATATTTTAAATTAAATATGACTTCATAGATATTTGTCCCTATTTATACTAGCATGATCAGTCAGACTTATTTATATTTGAATAATAATAATTTGATTAATAAAAATAAAAATACATGAACACATACATTAAATCATAAGAAACAAACACAATAAAACAAACTTTAAACACAATAAAACAAACTTTAAACACAATAAAACAACAGATTGCACTTGAACACAAACTCGAAGACTACATGTATGGTAAGTGAAAAATTCTCACACTGACTTCTTTATCTTTATAAATCCAATTCACCACGGTGCTTTACATTCTTTACATCTTTTATATACACACTTTCACTAGAGACGTGGAAGATAAGAGATCTTCATAGATGCATCATTCAGACCCATTTATATGAATATAATTCATTCACACAAATTCATTTAAAATTTGCCATTCATTCACATTCGTATTAATATTTGAACACATTATGACACATTCATCTGAGAACATTTCATTCATACAAATTCAACTGAAATGCATTATTCATTCAGTTTCATGTAAGTATACTTCAATCACATATGTTCATTCGAATCATGTCATTCATTCACATTCATTCACTATTTCATTCGCTCAAATTTATTCGGGATGAGTCATTTATTTACACTGAATAAACTTCATTCACTCAGAATAATTTGATTTGGACTAGCCGCAGGAATATTTTTTCTTTCGAAAAGTTCTTTCAAAATGGCGATTACATGACTCGCATAAAACGATCAGCAGACTCGCTTTTTCTTTTTTTATCTGAACTGAAGCAAACTACTACCGTCCATCATATGGCGAATCACCACTACCATAACCACTGGAACCATCATCTCTGACTCCAGTTTCTGTCATTTGTTGTGCCTGCCTTTTCAGTTGGGCTAACCCCTGGGATGTGAAGGGCAGAGATGCAAACAGAACACGTTCTTCATAATCGTATTCACACAGAATTTTGTTGTCGTAGAGGTAAAACCGATCTCCGACGCAGAACCTAAAAATAAGGACAAGAAATGATTCACTTGCTTTTTTAAAAATTTCAACAACTTAATACAATCAGTTAAAATAGAACTTTGTGTTTCCTTTAGACAAGAATTCACCTATGTTAATAATGTCAATGGTTCATTTTTAAAAATGATGGGTAGTTTATCCTAGAAATTGTTCTTTAAGAAGAGAATGTTTCGTTTAAATATTGCGTTGCAAGTTCAGAAAAGACCATTGTGGTATACGATTTAAGTAATCATCCTCGACTGCATATCGTTCAGCTTTATTTCGTTATCAAAGTGTACAAACATGCTTTCAAAACAATTTAAAAGCATTTTAAAAGTTAAATACGTTTAACAGAAATTTAATTTCAGCTATCTTTCACGACATGCATAGCCCAAAAAAAGATTATAGTTTTGAAGTCCAATTGAAGTCAAACAACTATATGTCGTAGCAAAAGCATAGAATTGATTGGACAGCTAAAAATGACAAACGCCTGATGCTTGCATGCCCTTAACAAATCAAATGCGAGATAAGAACTTCTACTTTTTCACTGTAGAGGAAAATCGTCTGCAAGAAACAATATTTACTATTCTTACATCGGTTTTTTTAGTGCGAGCAGAAAGGCGTATATTTGTTAAGATTTTTAGATCTCATTTTTATTAATTATTATTACTTGTTAATTGATTATTCAATAAGTTTTATTTTCCTCGCTTCACATAATTCAAGAAATCGAGCAAAAAGTAGGCAGTGCAACGTCGTTTGCACACTTAGATGTTAACAAGCTCTCTCCGTAGAGAAAATGGTTTTTTCTTAACTTACAGAGTATAAAAATGATTATATGTTTGATATCATGGTTTATTGTTTATAGCTGGAACTAATCATATCATTGGTCATAACTAACATTGTCATTTATTCGTTATACTTGCAACCATTATAGCATTGCTTATAGCTGATATCATCATTCATTGGATGTAACGGCTACCATCATATCATTGTTCATAATGCAAGTTCTACTTGAAACATAAATCATAATTGCTTTTTGATTCAAATTAAAGTTCAACATCATATCATTGTTCACAATGCAAGATCTACACAGAAACAGAAATCATAATTGCTTTTTGATTCAAATTGAAGTTCAAAGTTACTGATTTCTATTTTAACTCTGAATCTCGATTATTTTAAATCACAGAAACGTCGTTTCTATACAATCATAGTGTTGTGAATAATCGCCGATTATCGTATTAGTCCAGAAAGAAGAAACAGTTGTCGAAAAAGGATAAGTCAAAAAAGAAATAAAAATGAAAAATTAAAAGATAACGTGTAAATAAGAAAATTATTAATTCCAATTTATTAAAAAAACTGTTCTGCTACCAAACATTTTGTGCATATTAAACGTTAAGTTTTTTTTAATGGACGAAATTACAGAAGACCACGAAATAGAAGATAGAAAATAGAACAGAAAAAGCTAAAGTGGAACAATATACATCAGAACAATTTTGTCTAATTCCTTAGGATAGAGCACACTTTTCTGCTCATTGCTTATAAGAAATTTACTTTATTAAATTTCAAAATTAAATTCAAAATTCTCAATACAAAATGAATTTTTTTTTTATTACTTCAATATACTTTCCTGAAATTTCATTATTTTAATGAAGATTCCCAAAACTTTGAAAAAACATAACTTTGAAAAAAATATAACACTCCTATAATTTTTTTCAATTTTTATGATTATCCTTAATTGTTACAAAACAATTATAATTATGTTGAATATTTATAAAATTTCCATAAATATGGTACTTGTTTGCATTTATATTTCATAAGTTTAGTAAATTGTCATAATATTAATATATTTTAAATAAATGCTTACAGTTTTGAAATAAATTTTCGTAAAATTATCAAATCTTAAGAAAAAATTTAAATTATTAAATTTAAGAAAATAATTTTTAAGACAAATTTTGACCTAATCATTTCATTTTTCGTAAAAAAAAAATAAATATATATTAATCCTTTCAATCTGATTTTCTTTTTATTTTGTTTCACTTCACCCAATCTCATTCCCAACAAATATTTGATAATTGAGTACAACTATATGAGTTGTATCGACAGAAAGTATGGAGGAAATTTGCGTTCTGAACTCAAGTACGTTTCATCAGTTTTGTTTAAAACAAAACTATACTGATATAGCATAAGGAAATATAATCATCAAAAATATATCCTTACCTGTGATTGCACTGTTGGCAAGCAAAGCATTCCAGATGGTAAACATTTCCTTTCGCCTTCATCACCATCTCGAAAGCTGGAATAGTTTTGTTACACGCCGAACACATGCCCGTTGTGCCAAATAATCTGAAACAGTCATTGCTCATTAAAAATCTATTAAATAGTTACAATTGTTTACTTATTTTATGCATTAAAGATTTTATGAACAATAATGATTACTATGAATTAATGCTGTTGTCGTCGCAGGCCAATATGGCAAAGGGTGCGAGTGCTTTTATTTTCTAGTGGCTCCATCTATGGCCACAAATGACCAGAGTTGTTTTTTTTTAATTTATTTTCTTTAATATGTTTTTTAATTTTTTTGCTGACCGAACCACTCTGAAAATGTTACTCTGTACTATTTTGCGCTTGTTTCTTATGTATTTATTTTTTTATTTCTGTAATTATTTGCCATTAGATAGAGGTTTTTCCAAGAGGTACTTGGTTTTTATAATGATCTTTTAACCCCACCAGGCCTGCAAACCAAAATTCTTACCGAACTTCAGATTGATTTTAAATTTAGGCATATTAACCTGAAAAAAGCATTTCACCAGGATTCTTTCGTAATTTTTTTTTATGACAATCGTTGAACAGCCGACATAAAATTTTGAGTCTACGGCAACTTATGTTCAACTCCCCAGCCTTGTAATTTTGAACCCTATCTAGAAGACCAGGGAACTAGAATCAAGTATATTGAGAGAAATTTGTCTTCAAGGAGGACTTTTTGATTGAACTAGCCCACATTTGCGTTTTTTTTTTTTGGACGCGGAAAACCCCAAAATCCTACTACGGTTATACTGACGGCAAGGAACTTTAACCGATGATCCGTCTACCATTGAGGATATTTTACGTCAGCACTGTGGACGGTGCGAGCCGGGTGTGGAATCCGAATCTGCCAGCTATCGCTGGGGTCGAACCCGGGTCACCTCATTGGGAGGCGAGTGCTCTATCCCCTAAGCCACCACGGCTCTTTTCGTAACCTTTCTAGCTTCTAATTTTGATGTACGGTTGTTGCCATCAAGTTCATATATATTTTTAAATTTGGATCTGTCGGGGTCTCTCAACCACCGAGCTGGTGCTGACCTGTGCTTCCTCTCCTGAGAGAACCTCTCGCGGTAACGAGTCACAAATTTTAATTATAGGTTCGGATATTTCACAGCTTACCTTAGGTAGTCTCTTTTACAAAGGATGAGGTTAGCTTTGGTGAAGAGAGTTGAGCCCACTTCTCCCAATCTGCAATCACAGCAAGTGCACTTGAGGCAATCTTCATGCCAATACTGATCCAATGCTTTCAGCAGGTACCTCTCACGAATAGGTTTCTGGCAGGCAGCACAGCTGGCTTGACCACAAGAACCGCCGGTTGTGGAGAACCCCATTGCTGGCCTCTGCTGTACAATTTCGCTCTTTACCTCCATCCAAAGACTGAAAAAAAAGAGGGGGGAATGAAATTGTAGATACATTTGAAGAAAAAAAATCATTACATCTTTACGAAGATTGGAAAGAAGAAAGTGAAATTACAGGAGAAGATTTCGAAAAATTCCTATGGAATGCGCAGACATTTAAAATGATTACAGTAAAATAAAATTTTAAGGGTATCGTCGTTTTTATAACGTCAATAAATATTTAAATAATGTGTTAAACTCAGTAGTATTTGTGCGTAGTATCATGTATTATGCACGTGTAAACTCGGTAGCGTCATGTGTATAATGTGTTAATCTTACCCGATAGAAAATACGCTTATGGGTAGTTTATGGGTAGACTCACTTATATGGGTAGAAAAAGTTTATGAGTCATTTACATTTTGGGTTTTTGAGATGTTCATCAAAACAAACCCAGATGTTCAAAGACTTCGGAAATGGTCTCAGTTTCAATTACATACTCAATTATAAACTTTCAATTATATACTTGAACATGTCTATGACGAAGACTTATATTTTTAACATTTTCTTCACTTTTTAATCAGAAAACAATGTAACTCATTTGTTAAATTTTCGCTAAAAAAATGTTTGTACGTAATTCGTTTTCAAAAATTTACTACACACTTAAAACCTTCAGATAATAATGCAGACTTCCTTGAAACCTTTGGAGACAGAAAAATTTAATCCAAATATTTAGTTAAGAAAAACCATAAGAAGTATGATTATTGCAGGCATGTCCACGATGAATCGATTTGTTTTATATGTATATACACATCTCTTTCTAAATGAAAAGTTGTTGATTAAAACTCGTGTAGGTTAAGAAATAAAACTATTACTATTTTAGTGGTTTGTATTATTGTCAAAAGTAAATGTAATAGTTTTCATTACATTACCCCTGGAAGAGCTAAAAATGTAATAAGCAAAGCGTGTTCCCTTCAAATAAGTGCATTTCAATAGCAAAACATTAGAATTGTTGAGTTTCAGCTCCAAACGTACACAAAACTAATAACAATCGGGAATCGATTGAACTCAATAAAATTGACGGAAGCTTATGCAAACTATCAGCTAAATCAGCTTAATAGAAAACAAATGTACGAGAATCAACAAAATTAAGTACGCCTCAATGGAAGATTATGCAAACTATCAGCTAAACCAGCTCAACAGAGAACTAATGTAGAAGAATCACCAAAATTAATAACGTTCCAGTGAAAGCCTCTGCAAACTATCAGCTAGACCAGCTCAATATAAAACCTAAGTAAGTAAAAGAATAAAGTAATAACGTTTAAAACTGAAAGTCCAACCAAATTATCAGTCAGACCAACTCAATGTAAAACCCATATAAGATTTTTTAAAATTTTTTCAGCTATTTAAGAAATAAATTAGATTATGAAGAATAATCCAATATTTTTCACGAGTCATACCTCAAAAAAAAATGAAGGTTTCATCCGACATAAAACTGAGTGTCATAGGAAAAAAAAATGTCCAACCTGGCATTTTGAAGTCACAAGTTGACGGTCCCTTCTAACAAATTCAATTCGCTGCCTGCATAACAGAAATTCATCTGCTCACTCTCCCAAAGTAACAGCAATTTGCATTAATGCAGCCAGTGCAGACCAAACCAGCAGAAGTTAATCTTTCAGACGCGACCATTAGCCGGAACATCCGGCCGCCACATGTACTCACATCCGCCCCGAAACACACGCCAGCTTTTAAGTTAACCACATCAAAACACAGAGAGGCCACTGTAATCTTCATAAAAGCCATCCCCACACCATCACTCCGCCGCCACCACCAGTCGAAAAATACCAGGGCTTTTTAAGGACATTGGGAATCCTTCGGTACGAAATTACCATTATACAGATTGGCCATTAGATATTCATGAAACGCCAACCAGAAAAGAGACAGAAGAGCGCAAAAGGGAATTAAATTTTCATAAGTCCAATAAAATGTAATTTATGTTAAACCATTAAACGTATGGGATTGGGGAGCGAAGTGGCGTTTTACGTATCCTCTTGTAATTGAATATCGTTCATAATTTACTTGATGAGCCTATTCCGTCGATAGCGGTGTAAGTGGGGCTTTTGGAAAAGGCGAGCTGATTCTCCGAATGCCCCAGTTAAGGAAGGAGACTCCTCTCCTTCAACCCCTTCGTGTCGGATCAGAAATTCGATTTTCCATCTCTCTGAGCAAAGCGGTTTGAGATACGGAAATCTCATTTTCGTGATTAATCTACTTGCGGTTTTGGCGATTGCTCGGACGCGCCAAAACACTTAAGTAATCGCCATCTCTAGAGAACTGACAAATTTAGAAGATGAGACGGGATTCTGATATTTGATTTAAAAATTTTGAACACGCCAGTTAGTGTAATTGGAAATTCTTGCAGCGTGGTAACTTTTTTTTTTCTTTCTTTCTAGAGGCGATGTGGAACATTATTTTCCATCGTCGATGCTGTTTTAAAAATAAAGGTAAAAAAATAAAAATAAATTATAAAAAATTGATAAATATGTAGATAAATATAAATTATAATGTTTATAAAACAATTTTGTTTCATTCTTTTATGATGTACTTTATGTCCTTGAAAAATATGGACTTGGGCTGATGGAAGAAAAATTTTTTTTCAAATCTTAACTAAACATTATTGAAGTCAAGAAATGAAACGAAAGGTTTAAATCATCATGAAACCCACTTGATTTTACAGAGTGTGATAGGAATGCATGCGTCACCCCAAATAAATACGTTTTAAATTATTCTAATCCCACTTTTGCTTTTATTGGTTTCTAAAGTGATTTGTCCAAATTTTAAAACGTTAATAGTCTTTCTCTCTTTTTAATTCTAATTTACTTATTTGTGACCCTTAATGTGCACAATTTTAGATGTCAATATGTGCGAAACATCTTGTATATCGTTTTAACAGATAGAATGTCAAGAAAGATTTTAAAAAAATGCGCAGAAGTTTGGACAAATTGTTGAATACTTGCATTGTTAAGCAAATAAATGCCAAAGATGGAATGATTCTCGTGTGCGGTGTTATTCGATTTCACTCATAGCTTTATGAAAGCTATATGAGTGCTTGAATCATAAAATTTAGCTGATTAATACGTTTTTACTTAAATTAACTCAAATGGTCCGTTTTATTTAAGAAAGTTAGAGTTCAAACACTGCTTAACACACTAATAACTAAATCCTGATGTCTTCTTGTTACTGCTTCCAAATGTGCAATGAAATGTGCATCCCAGAATACACATCTATTAAAATGTCTGGCAAATGAGAATTTAAAGTTTGGACTGTTTGTGATAACTATTAATTGGTAAATCTAAAAAACTGGATGCAAAAGAAACAATTTTATTCATTGTAATTACACTAGAATTCAAAAGTTCTTTATCTGCAGTTACTCTTCATTTTAGCTTTTAACAGTATTGAATTTTCAATTTAACAAGAAAAAAGAAATATCAATGATTGTTTTTTATGTTATTAAGCGTTATTCACTGAAACCTGACTGCAATAAAATTTATTTACAGATAAAAATAACACTGCAATCAAAGGTGCATAGTATGATTTCGATTTCTGATTATACGCTAAAAATATTTTTCGTACTCGATTTATTTTTCATATTTTTAAAGGGTTTTTTTTTTCAGTATTTAACAAAGTAATATTACTTTGAAATTAATACGAAAATTGATGAAAGGAACTATTCTGCAAACAATGCCAAAAATTAAATTGTCTATAAGTCTAAACAATGAATAATTTATCATATATTAAATAAGCTCTCAATGCAAAATTTTCGTACATTATGAACAAGAAAGGTAAAGACATTCTCTTAGAAAAATAAAATAAAGATTATAATTTTCCCATTCATGAGGAGACAAATACCTAAATTGCATATTATATACCAAATTCTTACTATAACTAACGCTCTAATTGCAATATTTTAATCACTTTACTTATAGCATTTACATTTAAAAAAAAAACGTTTCCGAAAATAAAAGTATTTAATTAGTAATTTTGCATTCTGAAAACATAAAACGGGAAAGAATTTATTTTATTCCAATCGACTGAAATGGATATTTATTTTTAATTGCACTATCCCACTATCTTAAGAAATATTTCTGAAAGCTTAAATTGTCAAACAATGCGAAGCTTAATTTCTTTTATTTTTATTTTTGGAACGTTTCTTGAAGAAAAAACTAAAATATGGTTTTAAAATTCTATAATCTTCTATTAATTTTGGGAAAAAGTAATAAAGAAGCATAATGCAATAACAATATCACAAGGTATATAATATAATTCATCTTATTATTTCTCTTGTGCATCTCTTGAAGATAACAATATAACTATAAATAAAATTTATTTTTACACTTAGTCATAAAGATACTGTCATGTTTTTAATTTTTAAAATATTTTTTATAGTGTGTTATTATCTTACATTAACGAATATATTTAAGTGTATTTTTCATTATTTGCAATTTTAAATTGCTTTTTATATAATTTTCATTGATATGACAAGAAATAATTAAAAAAAAGTGCATTTTCAATTATTATCAGCACATTTAAATTGTATCAAACACCAAATCTCATAATCGATCTCAAAAAACGAAATGAATCATTCAATTAACTATAAAAACATATTTCATGAAATTCAGAAACAAACTTTGGACTCTTGTAAACATTTATGCTCTTAATAAGTGTTTAGTAATTTAATTCCATTGAAAAATAACAGTGAATTTCTTAAACCACAATTCACTTATTAATTTCAAACACAAATAGCTGCAACCTGTTTTTAACAAGATGGTATATTTTTTTACAGTAAATAAAACAAAAATATTTTAATCAAATATGATTATTAAGCTACGTTCCACTAAGGAATCGGTAGTAAGGAATATTTTCCATGACATTTCTTAGAATCCACTAATGTAATACCTACCCTAGTTTTCGATTTCGTATTTTTTTTTTCTATAATTAAAGCCTCTCTATAAGGAAGCCTACAGGAAATAATACAATTTCAAG